TTTTTTTTTTTTTTTTTTTTGTTAAGTATTGTGGTTTTTAAGGAGAGAAAAAAGTTGATAAGGTATTATGGACGGTAATGTAATTAGAAGGAATTACTGAAGATCTGTGTGTCAATTTTAAGTGAAATATCTATTTTTGCATTTATACATATATATATCTATGCATATTTTTACATTTATATAGAAAGAAGAGGGGGAGGGGGGAGGTTTGTAAAATTGTAAGGAAATGGTTGTGACAGCTACTGCAAATTGAGGATAGCCACTGAAATAGGAATTGACTAAACATTTGGGGCTGAACAATTTTTTCCTGTTGTTGTTTTTGTTGCTGCTGCTTTTTATGCTTTTTTTTTTTTATTTTTAATGTCATAGATATGCTTTTCTTTTTTTATTAATATTTTAGATGTATAGATGCAAAAAAAGAAAAAAGAAAACATTTTTAATTTATTGTATGATCTAAAATGAGTGTCCTAGCTAAACTTGGGTGGTTGGAACTGATTTTTTACGTTTAATTAATGCGGAAACAGAGAAGTGCAATTTTTTACTGCAAAAATTTTTTAATTTACAGATTTTTTTGTGTGCGTTTTTTTATTTTTTATTTTTAAATTTTAATTTGCAGTCAAATTTAACTATTTGATATAGGTTGTACTGCCAATCAAATGAGCGTTGATATTTACACTAAATGTTTGTCAAACATAGAGATGAGGTTAAAGAATTTTTTTTCTGAACATTTATTGTTTATAACGCTTAGGTGATAGGCAACGGTATTGTTTAATTTTTTTTTTCTTTTTTTTATAATTAAGTTTTTGCTAGTCAGTTAGTCGTTTAATTTTTTTGCCAATTTTTTTTAACGCAATTCAATTTGCTAAATTTTTGTAATGAAATTTTTAAAACATTACAATGCTCAAAATAGAGGCACAATTAAACTGCTTAATCCGAAGTGCTGATTAGGCAGATTAGCTGAATTTCGCTAATGACGGCAGTGATTATAGACGATTTTTGAAATACTATGTGTATGAATTAAATTCTGATTACATTATACGGAAAAGAGCATAATTTTGTTGTGTGAACGATGATGATGTTGATAATAGAATTGTTGTTGTGTTGTTGTCGTAAAGAATGGTGATTATTTAGCATAATTTTTTCAGGAAGTTGCCAGTGTAACTTTTGATTGCAAATTTTTTGAGATGTTTTAATAAAAACTTTCTCACATATGGCATAGCATATGGTTGAAGTTATTGTTAATTTTTCCTGGTTCTTTATATGTTCTGTAGATACGAAGAAAAAAAAGAGGGCCAGTTTTTTTTCTCACTGTTTTTGGGATGCCCTATCTAATCTGCTGAAATTTTTGCTGCATATGAAATTAATATTAATGAGCATATAGGAAAGACTGAAAATTTTATTTGATGTTTTCGATTGCAACAGAACTGTCCGCAGAGAGTGTTAGTATAGCATTTAGTAAGGGAAAGTTATGTTGCTTTAGCGGTTTTTGTTTTTCAGATAAGGATTTTAACTCATATATAATTGCTAGATTGAACAGCTTCAGTAATGCTTATGTTATTTTGAAATTTAATCTTTGACAGATAATTTTTAAAGTCATGTAATTTGTCATAAACAGGAAAGGGTACTTTTTTTAAACTATCTTTTTCAATATTCTTGTTAGTGGATTTATGGCTGAGTGCTTGGACCTTTTGTAGTTCAAAAAAATGCACAATTTTACTCTTAGAGCGTAGATATTTTTTGGAATATGAAAAACTGTTTTATGAGCCTTTGGTCGTAATAAGGAAACTACAGCATCATTTAACTCAAATGTAGAAGAAGTTTTAGTAGTTGGCTAATAACGGAGCAGTTATTTAGAAATTTCGTGTCGGATATTAAAAAGTGGAGACCCTCTGTTTGCGTAGTATTAATTGAATGTGTTTAACGCACAACTTTCCCATCTCTTTTTTTTTTTTTTTTTCATACGACAGAGGTGGCTTTTTGATACATAGCTTTGCTGGCAGAATTTAAGAGGAACAGCTTTCTTCAACATTTTTAGCATGCAGTCATGCAAACTTAGTGGAACATCTATCTTGATATTATTAAGCGCCGTGTTTATGAATCTTTCCACTATTTTGCTTTCATTTTCCAGAAGCAATTTTGGCAACTGCTGTTTAGTTCATTTGGAGGGT